GCTTGCTCATCATCCAAATGTCAATCAAGATAGATCATCATAATGCAGGACAAGTACACTGTAGCCAAGGACTAATAATGGGAGTACTGTTAATGCGCTAAGTCAAGACAGATGAGTTGAGGACCTAAAAGGAGCAAAGCCCCATACGAAACTGCCTGCCCTTGGCAATCCCCAACGAAGCCTCGTGTTTATTCATTCCCTCCTTCCTCCGCATTCTCGCCTCTTTTCCCACCCCCTCCTCTGTGCGAGCTGGCACCTCCCTCCCCTTCGAAATAATCCCCGCTTCCTGTGGCACTGTTCAGACCACCACCAGCAGCGGCACCACCACCACCCTTGCCTGCCTCCCCTCCTCCCGCACCTCCTCCACCCCCCCACGATCCTCCTCCTCCTCCCATTCCTCCTCCGCCTTCCCACCCACCCATGCTACCATCCGCACTGCCCATTCCCCCTCCGCCTCCTCCCATTTGCCCTCCTCCCCCTCCCCCTCCTCTTCCAAAGAAGGCTGGGTTGATGTGGGGAGCAACACACAGGCAGACCACCGCCAATGTTTGGGAACCCAACACCCCCCATGCCTCCCCCCATGTGCCTCCCCCCATGTTTCCCCCCATGTTTCCCCCCATCCCTCCCCCACGGGCCCAATTTGGTAGACCCCTCAGCCCAGGGCCTCCCCTGGGGAAGCCCCCCCCCTCCCCTGGCGGACCAACAAAAACTCTTCCCCCTCCTCCCCCCTCCCCCTGCCACAGTCCCCCCTCCTGCCCCCATTCCCCCAGGGCCAATTGAGGTGTCGAAACCCCCCACCTCCCCCCATAGGGGGGCCTCCCCGGGGAAGAGGGGCATTCCCCCTGTTACCAGCTCCCACTTCCCCCTCCCCCCTCTTCCCATGCCCCCTCCTCCCCCCATTCCTCCACCCCCAGTCCCCACCTGCCCGCCTCTCCCCCCTCTTCCCCCATCTACCCCTCCTCTCTTCCCCCCCATACCCATGCCCCGCCCAGGCATCATGCCCCCGCGCCAAAGCCTCTCCCTGGCCCAGAACCTCCCCCCATAGGGCCCGCTCCGCCCATGCCTCCCCCCATGCTTCCCCCCATGCCTCCCCCCATGCCTCCCCCCATGCCTCCTCCCATGCCTCCTCCCATTCCTCCCCCCATTGGCCCTCCCCCACCCATTGGGCCCCCTCCTGCCCCCATCCCCCCTCCCATGCCCATACCACCCATGGGACCCACCATACCCCCCCCCATCCCTCCCCCCATCCCCCCTCCCATCCCCCCTCCCATCCCTCCTCCCATTCCTCCCCCCATTCCTCCCCCCATTCCTCCTCCCATACCTCCCCCCATCCCTCCCCCCATACCCCCCATACCTGGCCCCATTCCCCCCATTCCCATCGGGCCCCCCATCGGCCCTCCACCCCTTCCAGGAAAGTTCCCCATCCCCCCACCCCACCTCCTCTTCCTCCACCCATAGGCCCCATTCCCCCCATCCCCCCCGGCCCGCCCATCCCCCCCATGCCACCGCCCATGCCTCCCCCCATTCCGCCCATTCCTCCCCCCATCCCCCCGGGACCTCCCCCCATGGGGCCCATGTGGGGGCCAGGTTGGGCGGAAGCCATAGCAAGGTGCCTTAGGGTTTGGGGGGTGGCAGGTGTGACTATACAGGGGCGGCCATTGAAGAGCCGCCCAGCCATGTTCTCTTTACAAGCACGTGCCGCTGCTGCATCTGCGAAATCAACCTGTGAGGACCGGGCGACAGGCACGGTTTGGAGCAAAAAACACGCAAAAGAACATAAGAGGCCTGCGACGAGACAAGAGAGTGAATGCAGAAGAGAATGATTAGAGAACAGAACCAGAAGCAAATGGGGGGAGGCAAGCCACACTACACTCTGTAAAAAGGTCGCGCCAGGTGCTTTAATGCTTTAATCTCCATGGCACGCACCTGACAGTACCCCTTAGACCGCCCAGTGGCTTTTTCTTCAAAGAACTTCACCCCCACCACTTTGCCGAACTCAGACGCCCCCGCCTCTATGTCCGCGTCTGTCGTCCACCAGTGCAGGTCCCCCACAAACACCGCCAACCCCTCAAACCCCCCTCCCCCTCCGCCTCCCCCTCCGCCCATGCCTCCCCCGCCGCCGCCTCCGCCGCCTCCTCCTCCGCCAGGACCCATTCCCATTCCCCCCTGCCCCATTCCGCCTCCACCTTGTCCCATTCCGCCTCCCCCCTGCCCCATTCCGCCTGAGCCCATTCCGCCGGGTCCAACTTGCCCCCCACCCATTCCTGCGCCCATGGCCCCCATTCCCCCTCCGCCAGGCCCCATTCCGCCCTGCCCCATCCCACCTTGCCCCATCCCGCCTTGCCCCATCCCACCCATTCCCCCTTGACCCTGAAACCCTCCACCCCCCTGCCCTTCCCCTTGCGCCATCTGCCCAGGTTTTCCACCCATTCCCCCGCCGTGCTGCTGCTGCGTGCCGGAGTTTCCGCCTCCGCTTGCTGCTTGCCCCGCCATGCCCTGCGCGGGACGATGCGCCTGGGAGGAACTCCCGTCCGCGCCTGAGGTTCCGCCTACGCTTCCCCCTTGCCCCGCCGGCTCTTGCGCATTACCTCCCGGTTGCGCGTTGTGCGCGATCGCCCCTTCAACTCCCCCCTGGCCTCCTCGGTCTCCGCCATCACCGCTGTCGCCTCCGCTGCCGCCGCCACTAACGTTCTCGCCGTCGCCGTTGCCGCCGCTTCCGGCTGCTCCGCCGCCAGCACTACCTTTCCGCTCTTCGTCCTCGTTATGAGCTTCGCCTTCTCCTGCTTTTAACGCGTCTCCGTCATCTTCGACTTCGTATGTTAATTCCAACTCCTCGTCCTCGGGGTGATCCGCCATATCGATGCGGCTACAAACGAGAGAAGATCAACAGTAATCAGTGGTTTTGAATAGCTCGCGACGGAGATTACGCGGATCGGCAGGGCAACAGGAGGGACGCTGAGCATCGAAAAAATGGCGGGAACTGGGAGTGCTGTTGATGGTGGGCCTGGAGCAATTTCTAGGGTGAGTTGAAAAAATTGATGCTTTCGAACAGTAAAGGTGGTCATTTCTGCTCAACACCACTCAACCACTCGAAATTCTTGAGACACCGTTTAGAAAACCTCATTACACAGCCTTTTGAACCATTTCCACGCAGTTCAGTCGGTTTTTACGGATCTTGATCCCGTTTGTCTTAGACGAAGTGTTAATAACGCGTATTCTCTGATCCTTCAGCAGCAGTTTCTAGTCTGAGATACGCAGTCTAGTTTTGTCAACCCCTGAAAGGTTACTAGTCTTACCCTTAGTAGGCTTTGCATGCAGACATTTGGGACCTGGAAACCATGGAGACCAGTTCAGAGCCCGTTGTAAGCGACCCTCAAGCCTGTATCGCGGATGGAGATTGTTTTGTCAAGTCCAGAGAAACGTCAGGGTCGTTTGAAGCCGCGTCGTCAGACGAGCGTAGAATCGAGTCTTCCGCTCCGACTAGCGGGTTGCCGGAGTGTTACGTGATCGTGCATAACGTGGCCAAGAGACATAATATCGGCATGCTCCTTCGTAGGTACGGGAATAAGGATGTCGTGGTTTTTCCCTTACCAGCTTTCGGTCTCTGATTTCGTGCGTGTAAGTAGTAACAAACAAGTAGTATTGTTTCAGCACTAAGAGTGCAGGCTAATCTCCGCTCCCCGCTCTCCTAACCGCATACTCTCTTCTCTCCTTTCCTCTTTCTCCAACATCACCTTCCCTGGACCCCTCTTCTCTTATAATCACATCCCACAGTGCCACGGCGTTCAGCGTGCATCAGATCCTGGTGATGGGTCGGAGGGATTTCAGTGCGTTCGGCAGCCATGGAGCCGCGGATCACGTCTCGCTGAAGCATTTCAATACACTCACAGACGCCAAATCCTACCTCCAGGTTGGTTCTTGAGGCTCCTCGTAAGACTTTGCAGCGTCTTTGATGCGCGTCAAACGATTTCAGTACGTTCGGCAGCCATGGGGCCGCGGATCACGACTCTCTGAAGCATTTCAACACTCTCACAGACGCCAAGACTTACCTTCAGGTTGGTTTCATTATTCTTGTGAGTTTTTGTCATTACACTAAGTTTTGTCACTGCATTATTTCTTGTCTCTATAACATTAACATTCTTGTCATCACGGCGCTCTTGTCATTACACCATCCTTCTTGTCATTGCACCATTTTTGACGTGATGCCATTCTTTCATTACATCATTCTTGACATTACACCATTTTTATCATTATGTTTGCACCAATGCTCCTTTCAAACCGTCCCTTGTGCTGATGGTACGCTGTTGCCATTCATTATCTGTTTTCAAGTCATTCCAGTGTCCTAGTGATGTCATGCCAATGTCGTATCATTGGCGTGCACTGACTTTGCGATATCATGCCAGTGACATGGCAAAGTCATGCGCGTGCCATACTGACTTCATCTTGTTAACGACTCTGCCTTCGTACTTGTAATGTTCACGCACGCCATGCCATGTTGTGTCTACCCGTCCCATGCCATGTCTACGCATCCCAAACCATTTCCATTGTATGTGGGCAGTAGTGGAGATCGTGGACAATGCACGCCCCATACAGTCACATCCATTCACTGGCAACACCGCTTTTCTCCTTGGCAATGAGGTATCTATCATTTGCTCTACCACACATCCCCCTCTCTCATGCCATTTTGCTCATTCTTCCACCCTCGCATATACTCTTACAGACTTTACTCCTCTTCCATCTTCCCTCCCCAAAGGGCAGCATTATGCAAATTACACTCTTGAGCAACAGGATCAACACTGTTAAAGCATCATCTTAAAAGAAAGTTTGCATTAAAAAGAGCCTCCTTGTGTAAACTGGTTCTCTGCCCTCTCCTTGCCCTTTCCTGCCCTCGCGCAACTCCCACCAGGGCACAGGGCTCTCTCCCACGGAGCTAGCAGTGTGTGACTCGTTTGTCTACATCCCACAGCACGCCCGGCTTTTGGCTTGACTCACGAGTCACCTCCGTCCGTCACCCCCATCCCACCAGGGCACGGGGCTCTCTCCCACAGAATTAACAGTGTGTGACTCGTTTGTGTACATCCCGCAGCATGGCCCCGGGACCGCGTCCCTCAACGTCATTGTCGCTGCCTCCATCGTCCTGCACCACTTCGCTGGTGAGCTGGTGTTGGCATATCTTACAACTCGCACATGAATCTTTGTGACAAGAGCTCTATTCTGCAGTTTATTTTGAACCACACCATGCACCCCACCATGCACCCCACCATGCACCCCACCATGCACCCCACCATGCACCCCATCATGCACCCCACCATGCACCCCACCATGCACCCCACCATGCACCCCACCATGCACCCCACCATGCACCCCACCATGAACCCAGTCATGCACCCCTTATGCAGCTCCTCATGCTGTCAATGTCTTGTCCTGCTAGGATGAATGCTACAAAATCTGCCTTGGAATCGTACGCTACAACTGCCATACGTTCTTTGCTTCTTGCATCCCCTTCCTTAATCCAGTTTGGGCACAGTACCCTGAGCGGGAGCGAGAAGGTGCTAAATTCTCAGTGGCTGCCCGGCCACTGAGAAGGGGCCCTCGAAATCGCTGCCCTGAAGATCCTGCTGAGCTGGCCGCTCGACGGCAGAGCAGGCAGGATGCAGCAGAGGGTGACACGTGGCAGGATATGGAAGATGGTTCTTTGGGATTGCTGGAAGGGGAGGAGGAGGAAGGGGAGTCATGAGCCTTCTCCCTTGAGACAACTGAACTGAGGTGTCGTTTCTGATTTGCCATTACAATGCATGGTGGACTGATGCACTTTTGCTTCCTTGCAGCTCATACATATCTGTACCAATAGCCTCCATTATCCATCTGCTGGCCTTCAGCTTGACATTGGTCCAGTAGAGAAAGCTACAGTACGTGAGGTTATGATGCTCAGCCCAATAAGGTATCAATTTAGCTGAACGTTTCCGACTGGAATGGATCATTCTCCTCTGCTCACTACCAGACTGCCTGCAGATTATGTGGTGGAGAATTTTAGGGCCCCATTGAATACACAACATGCATCCACTCAGTACAACCAGCGCCTACACTGATCTTTTCCCCAGCAGTCTACACACTGGCGGTTGGGCATGCAACATTTTGTACCTTCTATGCAGTTCCTCATCATCAGTTCTACCCCGTCAGATCTACCCCATCCGTCAGTACTGCCCTGTGTTCCACATCCATCCGAGCGTCACTTCTGCTTCCTTGCACCCCAAGCCACGCGCCATCTTGAACCTGACACACAGTGAACGCGAGCATGCGAGGAGGTTGCAGGAGGATACAAGTGATTCAGTTGGCAAGTTGGTCTCCATTCAGAGCACCAACAGGCAGCAGTATGCAGCCTTCCGCCATCACACCAGATGGATGATGTTCGGCAATGCTGATGCATGCAGGTACACAGAAATGAGTTGCACATAGAAACACATGCATGCCACTACATCCATCCACCATCCGCCACGCACCCATGCCACAGCACGCATGCATCCACACGGCCATACCACATCATCCATGCCACTACATCCATACATGCATGCACCCATGCTGCTGTGCCGACCCATGCCACAGCAAGCATACCATCGGATGGCCTCTTCAATGCTCGGCTTCCCCGTGCCCTCCCCATCCAGGTACATGTACCCCAGCAGCAGCTGCCAAGAGGGGCAAACAGAGCAACGCATCAGCCTTCTCATTCAGAGTTCGTCTAAGAAGCTCACAGCGGCAGCACAAAGCAGATCATCAACACATCATCGGCACCGCATCAGCCTGGGCAATCAGGGTATGTCTCAGACACTCACAGCAGCAGCAGCAGCAGCACGGAGCAGAGCATATCAGAGCGGCTCAGATCAGCCGCACCTGTTCATTCAAGATACATTCAGATACTCACAGCAGCAGCAGCACCGAGCACAGGATCCGCCTGGGCGTTGCGAGCCGCACGCAGCAGCCACGCCAGAGCCTCCTCCTCGTCCCGCGGCCAGTCCCCATCCCCTCTATAGTACGCCTCGCCCATTCGATACTGGCTCCCCTGGTGCCCCATTCTCGCCGCCTTCCTGTACCACTCCAGCGCCCTCTGCTGCTCCCCCCTCGCTTCCATCACCCTCGCCATAATCACACACGCATCCAGGTTCCCTGCTTCAGCTGCCCGGACGACTAGTAACGGGGGAAGGGGACATGGAGCGGGGGAGACCGTGAGGGGGACTCCAGAGAGGTGATTGTAACGAAGGGTGACTGTAGGAGAGGCGAGTGGTGAGCGGCGAGGAGAGATAGTGAACGGTTCTTGGTGGTGGGATAGGCGAGCCGGCAGAGCGGGTAAGCGCACATGGGAGCGGATGGGTTGGTTCCTGACGCGCCTTGAGTATGGGATGGGATGGGACTGCCCATCGCACTGGTCATCCGGTGCAGGCTGATCTGTCGGGTCGTTCTGATTCAACTGAGCGAATGAATTTGGCACCGTCGTCACTTGCAAGCTCGTAGCTGCTGCTGATGAAATCGGTGGTGGCAGTGATTGTACTGCAGGTGCTGCTGTTGCAGGTGCTGCTGTTGCTGGTGCTGCTGTTGCTGGTGCTGATCCCGATGCCGCTGCTAATCCTGCTACTGCCGTTGGTGGTATTGCCGAGGGGCCGTTCCATACTGTTCCACTGGCCGATGACCAGGGATAGGAAACGGTCACTCTGGGCCTCGGTACAGTCACATTCAGGAGGAGGTGCTGCCAGACACAGCAGGAGAGAGGGATCTATTCGTTAGAAGCAAGTGTGCTGATTATGATCAGCATGAACAGGGACCAGCGAGGAATGAAGAATGAGGAGTTGGCACAGGACATGCGGCACTCACCTGGTTGCTGCTGACGTGGCAGCGCCACGCCTTACAGACAGCGGCGCAACTGATGAGGTCAGCGAAGGAAAGGGCGAGGAAGATTCGCTCGGCGACGTCGTAAGGGAGGAGGGAGGCCAGGCACAGCGCCGGGGGCGGCGGGGGATGCAGTGACAATGATTCTCTAAACGGCGCACAAGGTAGAGGAGGCGAGGGGTGGAGGGTAGATGGCTTTAGAGACGCTTCAAGCGATGGTGGGGAGGGGAGGTTAGTAGGTGTAGATAGCTGTTGACACGTTACGATAGAGAGGGGAGATGGTGGGTCAAGTTTGGATGGATTTGAAGGCGGCTCGAGCGCCTGGGTCGAAGGGGGGTCGAAGAGTGCGTGACCCTGGCGAATGAGGTGTGATGCGTTGTGGTGGGGAAGCGGGGAAAAGAGGGGCGGAGGGGGATGCGCAAGGGCGGGGAAGGATGCGGAACGACGACAGGAAGAGGAGGATGGGGGAAGAGGCTGTGGGGAACGGGGGAGAGGAAGGGAAGAGGAAGAGGCGGGAGGATATGGAGGGGAGGATTTTGCCCTCGTGGAAGCAGAGGCGCTGGCGGCGGCAATGTGCTTGCATTGAGCGGTCTCGCTATTGTCACATTCGTTAAAGGCGCTGTCATTTGAGTCACACTCTACTGCTAGGGCGTCTCCGTAAATGTGGGAGATCCGCGCAAGCCTCCCCGCGCGCTCGTTGATCTCCGCGCTGCTAGGCGCAATCGCCCAGAATACCACCAGGCGCGGGCAGATCCGCGCGGAAAACACCTGTGCCGATGCGGGCGCGCCGATCGCCGAGAGCAGCTCGAGTTGCCACGTGGCGGGATCTTGTTGGTGCGCGGGAAGCAGCAGCTCGTGCGGAGGCTCGGAGTAGTTCGCGGGGAGCAACGTCGCGCGTAGATGGCGCGCTGAATTGGCGGAAGAGTGGCGCGCGGAGGGAGAACGAGAGCGGATCCCGGAAAGCGCTTCGAAGCACCTCCAGGGAGCCGTATCGGGGATCTTAGAAGCGGCGCACTCCTCGCCACGTGGACTGGAATCTAATAAGCTCTCTGGTGCGGCGCGTCGACGAAGCGTGAGTGCCATCTCGACCGTTTAGTGCAAAGAAGAACTGCAGCAGCCTAATCAACCTCTCAATAAAAGCGAATATGCCCACACTTTGCTAAGAGGCAAATGATGAGGCACCAAATGCTAACGATAACACGAAATGTTTCAATCAATCTTGCAATGCTTCCCAGCCTTTAGACTTGCAAGTCGAATGACAAGTTCAGCAGCACGTAATCTAAATTTTGCCAGTCCGAGCAACCACTATGGGTATATTACGACAACCAGCGGTAATGCGCGTTATATCACGGTTCTCTACAGATTCCAATGAATTGGTCGACTCCATTATTCTCGTCCACGTAGACCCAGATTCGCGAACAGAACAGTCGAAGAAATGGCACAGCGCATTTGCGGGTTTGGTGGTTACCCGCCACCTGTACTGTAGTCCACCCCTTCAGGGATTTTTGGGATATGGTCGGTTCATATCTGCGCCTGCCGTGCTGCTCGCGTCGCGAAATTCTGGAGCTGGTCGATGTCAGTGACTTGCGGGGCGGACAATTTTCCCACCAGTGCAGTTCAGCGATCGTGTACTTCGCATATCTCCTGTAACCAGACTGATCACCTTCGTGAAACATCTAATGCGAACTCGTTTATCTGACGTGCCAGTCTCTCAGCCACAATTGTTCCTGAGCCCCGTGGAGCCACCAAAGCCCTCGAGAAAATCCACTAGGACGTGACGTCAAGTATCACCCACGTGGCACGACACCAGAGTCCTATTACACGAACCAGGCCAGACCAGGCCAGATTTCTTCCACCACCTAGGAAACCAAATTCAGAATGCCATAAAAACAGAAAGAGCATGCCATCAACAAGCCAATTCCATTTGGACTAAAGCGTAAATCTTGCTTCTGCATTCTTCTCAGGCGCTAGTAAGATCAGACTGTTGCTGCGACTCATACAAGCCTCTGACTGTCTTAGCAAAACTACCTTCTCGTGTTCTTCTGAAGGTGGTTTTTTCGGTCATTTGGATTCGTAGACACTACGGCCATGGCCACTCGATCTCTCCTCCATTCCCATTCTAGTCGCTTAGCTGTCCAACCGTCAGGACTTGTCACTTTTAGCACTAATTTCCAACAGAATGCCGTGTTTTCTCAATCCAGACAGCTAGACCCCGCCACGGCTGGCGTCATACGTGCTGAGCTCTTCGCTCATCAACCTAAAGCTGTCAATACCGTCATATCCCAGTCTAGTAGGAAGCATCGCCGAAGCATAACTCGCGCTGCGGGAAGTACAACAGGGATCGAATCCAGCAAGACTGACGTGGCAGAGGTAGCGGAAGGCGCGGTGCCGCCAGCTGTGATCGACGACCTTATCGCGTTCCTTCAACAAGAACTGCCGAAGCTGTTCGTGGAAGGGGTAAGTGACATCAATATTACCCTGACTGTTACCATGACCACTACTGGACCAGTAATCGCGAACACTGCACTGCTTTTACCGGCGTAGGTTGTTGTTGCCGGGATGTATTATTTGATACCATGACCTATAATTGTTCGAATCCTTCCAATGCTTTTTCAGGGCATGAGCTCGGCGCGCTTTGCGGACAAGGTGGAGTTCGAGGACCCCATAACGCGGTACGACACGCTGGCGGGATATCTCTTTAATATCCAGATGCTGCGGTACCTGTTTCACCCCGTCTTCATTCTCCAAGACACATACCAGGTATGCACCATAGCTCCGTAAACCAAGTAGGCTCTGATTGATGATCCATAACAGGTTAAAATGTCAACTTTCCGATAATTTTACTACTAGATAGTTACCACCCGATCGTATAGCACAACACAGCTGCGGCGATGGTTCGGACGGTGCACTCATGACATCACCTTGAGAGGTTATACATAGCACACACGTTTAAGTGAACAACCACTCGTGGAAGCCACTCGCAGTAGCCACAAACGCTACAATCTAGTATTAGAACCTACATCCCTCCCTTTCTTGTGCCACCACTGACATGTTTTCACATTGGCTTCACTTCAATCAGTGCCGTACACTGGAGCGCGTCACACGATGAACGGTGTAGATGTGTTTCTGGCTGCTCCCATGGCGACTCCTCGTCACTCCTGGCCCATTCCCCCTCTTGCCGTTTTGTGGGCAACCCTGACGGGTTTTCCCTCCTCACGGGGTTTCCGCATTCTCCTGTCCCACTTTCCCAATCTCACCCCTCCAGTCCGGCCCAGCGGAGATCACAACGCGATGGACGATGAAGATGTATTTTTGGCTACTGCCATGGCGCCCAGAGGTGGTCTTCACAGGCCTCTCAATCTACGGCATCGACCCGCGCTCGCAGCAGTTCATCAGTCACAGGGACGTGTGGGACTCCATTCAGGACAACGGCTATTTTTCCCAGGAAGGACTTCGGGATTTGGTGAAGCAGATGATGACGCTCTACTCGCCGCCCGCCCAGCTCAACTCCCCAAAGTTTGGCGTTCTGCTGCGGAGGGCAAGCTATGAGGTGGGTGTGTCCGCGTGTTGAATAAAGAAGCGGGGCTAGAGTGGGAGGGGATGCCTTCTTCTCTCATGAGGGGTTCATGTTTTGCTTGAGAAAGGCGACGTCTTTTACTACGGTGGGAAAACTAATATAGAAGAAGAAACAACAACAATGCTGATGCTGACTGTACACTCGCTGCCATGTTAGCTGAGTTTCTCTGAATTTAATGTGTTATGGCGGCAAGCAATCCACGAGGTGGGTGTGTCTCTCCACCTCCCTCTCCCCCATTGAATAGCTGGCACAAGAATTCATGTGTCCGTGTTTCTCGCTCTCCATCTCATCTATCAGCAACTATAAACTCCCATCCTCGTCTCATTCTTTCTCCATTCTCCCCCTCTCAGTGTGTTTTTTATTCCCTTCCCTGTGTGTCTCTCATTCCCCTCCTCCCCCCCTCCCCCTTCCTCCAGGTGAGGGATTACCCTGCCTACCAAGTCGTTCAGGTCAACTCGCCTGTCCAATCAACAACGGACATCTGGCCCCCTGCTCCTGGCACTCCTCCCAGTCCACAAGTGGAAAAGCTGAAGAGGTATGTCGCTGGTTTTGAGTCAGAAGCTGTATAGGTGTGTGTTGTTTTGTAGCCGGATCAAAATAAGTATAGGTCACATCTCACTGTTCTTTGTGCAATGATAAACGTTTAGAGGCAACTCTCTGTTTTGCCGCTACCAAATGCAGGGCAGTTACTAGCCATACTTTTTCTCTAAATCTTGTGATTCTTCTATCTTGTGATTCTTCTATCTTGTGATTCTTCCCATTCCAGGTACTTCCAGGGAGCCAACAGCCAGAGGAAAACTATTCCCGAGGGCCCCCTCATGATCATCAGCCCTCCAGAGTCTGCCAGGCAGGATAGAATATTAGCTATTGCCGTACCTCTCGATGCTGATGCGCCCACTCCGACCGATCCTGACCTGACTGTTGCCACAATGCCACCTGGCGCGTGGACGGCTGCATCATTTGGTGGTCTGCCATTGGTGGAAACATTCTCGTCAGCAGCTGCTGCTCTGCGGGCTGATGCCACCTCTGATGGCTTGTTGTTGGCCTCCAGAGGAGCCGGCTCAGACGGGTCTACAGCTGCCCCGGACAACACTGCGACAGATGCTGTGAAGGGAGGCACGGGGTTGGGGGGTGCTGCTTCTGCTCTGGTGTCCTACCCAAGTGGGTCTCCCATTCCGTTCCTCAAGGTACGTAGGGAGGCATTTATTTTGCATGCACTTCTCGCTCCAATTGTACCACCCATGCTCAATTCTCACGTGTGTTCTCGGAGTGCTTGTGCAGAGAAACGAAGTGCTCTACAGATTGGAAAATTTCTCGTTGGAGTCTGTCGGAAAGCAGATTTCTTGTAGCTAGGATATTTTATGTCAAACCGTTGTAATGATGCATGTGTACGGTTTAGGTATGCGCCTTGTATGTGCATGCGCCATCTCGAAAATTTCTCGTTCTAGTTCCTAGCCGTTTGACTTGTAAAACAGAGTAGCTCTGATGACTGGAAGGCTGGAAACTTGGCTGGAAGAGCTCAACAGAGCTGCTGGACTTGGCTTGATGAGAGAAAACTTACACTATGCTCAAGATTGTACAAGCCCACTAAGGCACAACTTCTTAAGCATTACAATCATGCAGATTGATAGCTCAAACTAGGCTGCTAGACAAGGCAACTTCCTGGAGAACTTAGGCACAATTCAGATTCCATGAACCTTGAGTGACTTGAGAGCCACATGAGGTGCATGAATAAGAAAGCTCTGGAATTCTCTGTCATAGCTGATTTTGTTTGGTAGAAACCTGTAGAAACTGTTGACACTTCTTCTTGAAAACAATTCCGAACTGTATCGAGAATTCGGCTCCAATTTGATTGGTTGAGAAACTTTCTGATTTGTTTGCGAAGCCTTCAATCCGTCGCCGACATTCCCCCCTTGCTGCTCCTTTTGTGCAAAGGGCTGGGGCGGCAGAAACTTGATTCTCCAACACTCCCCCTCGCACCAGACCCGAAGCACACATACGCCCATTCTTATTCTCCTCTTACATCTCCTTGGCATACACTCCATGCTGCTGCCCATATTGCTTCTCCTCATACCCCTCATTCTCCTCAAACTGCTGCACTGCTTCATGAAGTGTCATGAGACCTGCTCTTGCCTTGCACATGTTGAATGCATCATGTGGAAGAACCTCGTCATGAAATCTGCTGCTTGGTCGAATGAACGGCAAAAGTTGACGGCGAGAACTCCCTTCTCTAGTTGCTCACGGATGAAATGGTACTGCACCTCGATGTGTTTTGTACGCCCATGATGAACCGGGTTCTTGGAAAGAGCGATGGCTGAAGTGTTGTCCACGTAGAGCGGAGTCGGTTGAGTTTGCGGCTGCCTCAAGTCCTCCAAGAGTCCACGTAACCAGATTGCCTCCCTTGCTCCTTCGGTCATTGCCATGTACTCGGCTTCGGTTGTAGAAAGCGCCACACAACTTTGCTTGCGTGATTGCCAAGAAACAGCGGCACCGCACATGAGGAAGATGTAGCCGCCGGTGGACTTGCGTGTGCTCAATTCTCCCGCCCAATCTGCATCGGTGAAGCCTTGGAGGGAGCTTGCATGTGGGCTGGCTTGGAAGAGAAGACCAAGATTAGAAGTACCTTTGAGATACCGAAGAGCTCGCTTGGCTGCAAGCATATGGGTAGGTGATGGGGCACTCATGTGTTGAGCTAGCTTGGATACCGTGAATGCTAGGTCGGGCCTTGTGCATAGGGCTGCATACATGAGACACCCAACCTGACTTTGGTAGAGAGCTACGTCTTGTGGGGATACCTTGGGTGAATTTTCACCATGATGCTCACTCTCCTCAAGACACAACTCCTCAATACCCGTGATGTCAAGGCTTGACTCCCTCTCTTCATAGGGCTGATGTGATGACAGAGGGACAAAGTTGGAAGGAAGCGGGGTAGGTGATGGCTTGCTATCATCAAGACCAAACCTCTCAAGGACCTTTTGGATGTACCTTTGCTGGAATAGGAAGATGGACCGTGACTTATGATCTCTCACAATGTTCATACCAAGATAATGACTCGGCTCACCAAGATCGGTCATCGTGAATGCACTCATGAGAATACCTTTCACCTTGTTCAAGAGAACCTGAGACTAGGAGGAGGTCATCAACATATACCAACAGCCAAATGTACTCCCCCTTACTCGTGTGCATGAAGTACAACGCGTTGTCTCTCATGGACCTTGTGAAACCGTGCTTGAAGAGTACCGTCTCAAGAGCATGATACCATACCCGTGGGGACTGTTTGAGACCATTAAGTGACTTTACCAAGCGACAAACTCGACCCGTACCATCATCATAACCTTCGGGTTGTGCCATGTATACCTCTTCGTCCAAGACACCGTAGAGAAATGCGTTCTTGACATCCATTTGATGGATATGGAGACCAAGATATGCGGCTATGGCGAGGAGGACTCGTACCGTGGTGTACTTCGCTACCGCGGCAAAGGTTTCGGTGAAGTCAAGACCTGGAATTTGGGAATAACCTTTTGCCACTAACCTTGCCTTGTACCTATCAAGTGTACCATCATCTTTTACCTTAATCTTGTACACCCATTTGACACCAATTACCTTCTTCTCTGGAGGTGGCTCAACAAGACGCCATGTACCTCTCTTCATGAGACTCTCAATCTCTTCTTCCTCGGCCTTCAACCAATGCTCTCTCTCGGGACTTGCCACTGCCTCACGACGACTCAATGGCTCTCGTGGAAGGTGTGACGCTGCCATGCATATTGACTGTACCTTCTTGTGAATGCAATTCTCACTCTCCTCACACGTGCACCTTGATGACATGTCAACCATGAACGTGAAGGGCTTTTTCATCTTGCGGACTCGTTTACCTTTACCCAACTCCTCACTTGACTGAGACACATCAGTAGTAGGGTTCGGTCTCACAGTGCTTGGATGCGTTGACACTGTCATTTGCGGCTGAGACAACGGCTGCGACAGCGGCACGGCTGCATGATCTTCTCCCGGCGTGGAACTCTCTCGATTATCGGTGTTGACTTGAGGAATAGGAGTGATGGCTCGTGGCGGTGAAGCTGAAACATTCGTCGGCATAGTTGGTTGTGAAGGTGCTCTTGGTGGGGATCTTGAGACTAGAAGCTTGGGGATTGATGATGACGCTGTGTTGTCAAGAGGTGATGATGAATGGGGCTGATTGGTGTTGTTTCTCGGTGTTGAAGATGACGGTAATTGATGACGGCCAATTCCGGGACGTGGGGGTGAAGTTGAGAAAGGTCTTGGGTGAAGAAGTGGGCTGTTGGAGCTGGTGTTGGTGGTGACTCGCTGAAGTGATCCTCGTGCTATGAGCTGGCTTGACGTTGGAACCTGAAGTGATGAACGTGTGTGAGAACGAGATGTTGCGGTGATGGTTGTCTTGTTGGTAGGAAGAATTGTAGATGGTGTGGATGTAGGTACTTGGGGTGTTGTGGCTGTTGATTGCTGCTGCATTGGATGATGATGAGTGTCGGTAGTTGCCTCTGGAGTGGCGGCTGATGATGGGTTTGGTGGCGTAGTGGTGGGCTGATCCAATGGACGTTGAACTTGCGGAGTAGGTGTTGAAGTAGCTGGCTGGTTTGTGACGGATGGCTGCTGCTCCTTTGGTGGTGATGGAACGGTGACTTTCTGAGGTGGATGGTCTTCATTTGATGGCTGAACTTCATCTCCACTTGGTTGTGTAGCTGCTGGTGGCGCTGGTGTGGCACGGCTGGTCTCGTTGACGACGGCTTGAGGGAGATCGATGATGGGTCCGCTATGGTCAGAATGTGTGTCATCTTCTTCCTCCTCTTGTGTTGTTTCCTGTGCTCTTGCTAGTTCCTGCTGGATAGAGGGTGGTAGAGAGGAGGAAGAGGAAAACTTGTGCCAATCTGCAAGGGACATGTCTTCATAGAAGACCACATCCCTTGAAACCACTTCTCGCTTGGTGACGGGATTCCAAAGGACCCATCCCTTGCTCTCGTTGCTCATGCCGATGAAGAGGCCCCAATGAGCTTTGCTGTCCAGCTTGAGTCTCTTTGCATCTGGAACACGGTATTGGGCCATGGAACCAAAAACACGAAGCATAGAAAGATCTGGTTTAACTCCAAACCAAGCCTCATATGGCGTTACACCATCCGGTAGGGGCCTTGTGGGTCTCCTGTTGCGAACATAAATTGCCATAGTGATTGCCTCACCCCACCAGAGCTTGTCAAGGCCCTTAAACTGAAGAAAAGTGGTAGCTATAGCTTGAATAGTGCGATGAAACCTCTCTGCCACTCCGTTTTGCTGAGGACTATAGGGACAAGTGAACTGTTGTTTGATGCCCAATGCCAACAACTCCCCCTGAAATGCTTTCCCCATGTACTCACCTCCTCGGTCCGGCCTCAAGGTGAGTAACTTCTTCCCCGACTCTCTCTCAACAAGTGCTAGCCATTGCTTGAAACACTTGTGCACTTCATCCTTGGTGTTGATGAAAAAGGACCACGAGAAACGACTCTTGTCATCAATGAAAGACACCAAATATTTCTTACCGTTTCGAGTAGGGTCTCGCATGGGGCCGAATACATCAGTGTGGACCAACTCTAGGAGGTCCCTTGACTGAGACTTAGAAGGAAAAAATGGCTTTCTTGCTAACTTACCTTCGACACAAGATGGGCATGGGACGGTAGAAAGAGACTTGACTGCACTTTCACTCAAATTAAGTCCTTCCACGCTCTTGTGACTTACTAACTCTTTGAATGCTTGCATCCCCAAGTGCCCCAAGCGTGCATGCCATGCCTCAGCTTGGGAGATACTCCCTTTGTTGTTGACTTGATCGGTTGAAACAGCGGGAAGCGAAACAACGTCGTTCTTCGCGTTGCTAGAACCGCGCTTAATCTCCAACTTCATCTTGTAGAGACGCCCGGTACGCTCGCCTTCAGCCACCAAATTTCCTGCACTATCCCACACTTTGGCTTTCCCCCCTTGCAAAAGAACAGATGCACCTTTCTCTTCAAGTTGTCCAGCTGAGAGCAAGTTTGCTCCCAAATCAGGAACAAATAAAGCTTTATTGACACAAAAAGACTTACCATCCTTTTCAAACTCAAGCTTGCCGACTCCTTTGATAGGTACTTTGCCAAGATCAGCAAGTGTCACAGCTTTTGAGTCATACGAGGGCTGAAAATCTTTGAGAATGGACTGATAGGGAGTCATGGTTTCAGAACAGCCACTATCAAGAATAAACTCCTCACTACTAGAAGAAAAAACGTGCATGCAAGTAGCAGCGTTGAAAAGGACAGGACCATCAGAATCTTTGGACTCATTTTGACTTGTAGAATGACTTGCTATATTTGCTATGGCTGCCTTACCCTTTTCAGATAGTAGCTGAGGAGGGGGGACCCAATTAGGAGGCTTCTTAGGACAAGCATCCCACGGATGACCCCACTCATGACAACAAAAACACTCAAAATTAAACTTTTTAGCATTCGAGGCTTGGCTGAAAATATTGACTCTTGGCGGATTAACTCTTGCATTCCTAGGCTGATATTGATTGGGAATAGAAGGCCTTGGCTGGACATAGGGACTTGACTTATAGGGAGGACTTGACTGAGCAAAACGAGAGGGTTTGTATGGGTTGCAAGGTGACTGAAAATTCGTACCATAGTATGGTTGAGGGCGGTTTGGGCTGAAATTTCCTTGCCTCTGGGATTGGTTGCCATATCTTGTAGCTGCTGCAGCACTCCACGCACCCTCGTCACTCCGCCTGTCTCGACTTTGCTGCTCGTTGACAAGGGCTTCGAAGATGAACGCGCGGGTCTTCATTGACTGCGGAAGTGCTTGTAGTGTTGCACGGAAAGTGTCCCACTCCGGTGTAAGGCCGGTGAGGATGACGGTCTTGAAAAGAGACTCTGGAATCTCCAAGCCGATCGCTGCTGCTTCCTCTAGCTTCGTTTCAGCTCGTTGAAGGTAGGTTTGGGCTGGTTCCTCTTCTTCCATCTTGAGACTCATGAAGCGGCTCCACATCTCGGCCTGGCTGCTCTCGGATTTTGACTGGTGCATAGACTTCAGTCGGCTCCATGCTTCCTCTGCACTGTTTGCCTTGGTAGAACAGGGCAGGAGCGACTTCAACTGCTGCTCGTGAATGCTATTGAGTAGGCAGAGGAAGGCCTCCTTGTTGCGCCGTTCGTAAAGTCGTTTTTCAGCTTCTGAAGCATCTGCTGCTGGTTTGGATGCTTCTCCAGTGTAGTAAGGCCACAGATCCAGAAGAGATGCAGTGAGCTCAAACTGGGTTGCCCATGTTGGAAAATCTTTGCCGTTGAACTTGGGGAGGTGAAGCTTAGGCATGAAGGAGGTGAGTGGTGAGTATGTTGTTGAAGGACTGCCTGGTGCAACTGCTTCCACTAATCCCGTAGCTGCTGATGTTGACTCTGAAGCTCCTCCGGCTGGCTGGAGTACAGGGCCAGATGGGTTGTCTCCCGCCATGGACGGTTTGTGCTAGGATAGGGAGGTGGCGGGCTCGGTTGATCGAAACGACGGGCTCTGATACCAACTTGTAAAACAGAGTAGCTCTGATGACTGGAAGGCTGGAAACTTGGCTGGAAGAGCTCAACAGAGCTGCTGGACTTGGCTTGATGAGAGAAAACTTACACTATGCTCAAGATTGTACAAGCCCACTAAGGCACAACTTCTTAAGCATTACAATCATGCAGATTGATAGCTCAAACTAGGCTGCTAGACAAGGCAACTTCCTGGAGAACTTAGGCACAATTCAGATTCCATGAACCTTGAGTGACTTGAGAGCCACATGAGGTGCATGAATAAGAAAGCTCTGGAATTCTCTGTCATAGCTGATTTTGTTTGGTAGAAACCTGTAGAAACTGTTGACACTTCTTCTTGAAAACAATTCCGAACTGTATCGAGAATTCGGCTCCAATTTGATTGGTTGAGAAACTTTCTGATTTGTTTGCGAAGCCTTCAATCCGTCGCCGACATTCCCCCCTTGCTGCTCCTTTTGTGCAAAGGGCTGGGGCGGCAGAAACTTGATTCTCCAACAGTTTGCGCTATCACTTCGTGTTGCTAGGTACAAACAATTAGGTCGTGTCCGTAGGGATGACATGTCAAAGTGGGCAGTGTCAATTTGGCATTTTGACACTCAGCCAACATTGTTGGCAGGGTGTCAAGAAATTGCAGGATGTCAGCCAATACAAATTGTCGGACACTTTTGAAATTGGCACAGTCAAACCTTCAAACGACAGAAAATTGTCGCAGGTACCTATCTCACAACCAGATGTTGCCCAATCAGCACACAATATGTCTTTTGAATCGTTCGCTGCCTAGCAGATCCACACCTGACCATTTTTCAAACCAATGAAAATGAGTCGCTGATGTTCGTACATGCGCTTCGATCTGACATGTCAGCTACAATATTTGACACTCTAATTCAATTGCGCTTCGGGTTGGCACGCTCTCACTTGACATGTTAACCCTACGGACACGAACTTATTATTTCCCAACCAATGTGCATCCAGATGGGGTTTATTCTGACAGACCTAGGGCAGATACGAACTATTTTGCGATGGCGAAAGGAACTGTGAGACTTCCGCCAGCTACTTCCCAGTACAGACCGGCAAAGGAATGCAAATGCAACCCCGCGCTGGCATAAGCTGACTGCAGCTGATATTGGCTCAGCACAATTCACTTCCCCTGCCACTGCCAGCCCTGACAAACTTCAAGGCTGGCTCATGACTCTCCTCAATAGACGAATTTGGCCTTGACACATCAGAGATTATTCCCACCTCGTCAGTTATCGAAGCTTCGGGTGGCGCCATGGTTGTCGAGTCAGGTCGACGAACAGCGCTCTCACGCGAGGTCTGCCAGCGTAGAATTTCGTCTGCCGCATTAGAGCAGTTCTTGAATTCAGGAATTTCCCTCGAATGCCTAGGTAGAATTCCCTGCTCGGGTATGTTAGGTCCCTAGTCATTTCCATTCTGCATTTCCAAGCAACGCGCTTTTCTCAGCTCAACCCTTTTTCTCGAGCACCTAAATATCCCGTCCGCTCGCTCGCCATGGCTCGCGAAACTCGTGTTCTTCTCGTCGCGCTCCTGGCACTCATTCTCGCCGGGCAGCTCGTCGCAGCTCTCAGGCCAGGTGCGTCAAATGTGCCTTTACTACGAATGCCGTTTCGTGAATGCTTGCTTGTGGGCTTTTCCGTTTGCCATATCATTGAACTCATCGTCCTGCATCTGCAATGGTTGAATGCTACGACCACGCAAACTCTGGCCAGCGTTTCATGGCTCGAATCTCTTCCCCTCGCTGCCCCTAAGTTTTCTCGAGTCGATTTGCCGTCACTGATTCCTCTCTCACCTTTGTGTCGCTCGCATTTATCTTCTTCCCCGTCACTTTCCAGCTTCCAAGGTCGACGGCAGCAGCACGGATGGCAGCGAGAATGATGGCAGCAACTCCAAGAACAAGCTTTGGATTGAAGTGCTCTACGAAGACGTCAGCGTCGACACCAACAGTACCACCGTGAGTTGCGCCGCGCTCTTGATTCTTGAAGAAATACCTCAGTGCTGAGAAATACCTCAGTGCTGAGAAATATTTCAGTGTTGAGAAATACCTCAGTGCTGAGAAATGCCTCAGTGCTGAGAAATGCCTCAGTGCTGAGAAATGCCTCAGTGCTGAGAAATGCCTCAGTGCTGAGAAATGCCTCAGTGCTGAGAAATGCCTCAGTGCTGAGAAATGCCTCAGTGCTGAGAAATGCCTCAGTGCTGGACGAAGACGTCAGCTTCAACACCAACATTGCAGCTGTGGGTTGTGCCTGTGATTCTGAGTAGACTCAAGAAATGCCTCCATGCCAGTAGAAGACGTCAGTGTCAACACCAACAATACGCCGTGAGTTGCGCCGCGCTCTTTCGATGAGACGGCGGCAATATCAGTCAAGATTTCGCATCCAAAGCGTTAGCTATCGGCTTCTATCTACTATTCCAATAAGCCACCTTTTCCCGTCGTCTGTGCATTTCCATCTTCCTCTCTCGCTGAAACCAAACAATGTGAGCAGATCGGATCTGGCGACACGGGGTCGAGGTTCATGTTCAGCACGCCTCTCTACAAGTCAAAGGACTTTACAAACAAGGTACTGAATAATCCATCTGGCTGTCTGCCTGATTGGCACACTCTAGCTCTTACTTGTGAGGGATTTGAATGCGCGTATATGTGTAAGAAGGATCTTTATATATATAGCTGGCAAGACGTCGGTTTGTTTGATAATTTTATGTATTTTTTTCTACTTTGTTTCTTTCCTTTTTCCGTTCTTCAGGTTGGCCAGCACTACCTCTCAGCAGTAGCCATGTGGAATGACCTAATCATGATCACCTGCAGCCTCAGTTTTGACAACGGAATTATTACCGCCTCAGGTGGGCTATCTCGGGTGTTGCTTATTGCATTGTGTTGTTATTGTCGCATCCATTTGATGTTAAAAATCATTGGATCTCATAGTGCTAGGGGGCGCTGAAGGTGGACAGGCCGCCGTGAAGCACAAAGTTCATAATCGTGTTCTTTCGTGCTCTTCCAGGTGCTTACAAGTGGACGGAAAACGAGGGGAGGGTCGCCATAACGGGAGGGACGGGCGCCTATGTTGGATACTCGGGTACGGTGTTCGTTTACAGTCTGGATGGCACCGTGAAGACCAGCACGCAGCACCAGCTCGTCCTGAAGGCGTTCAAGGCCACTTATTAGATTTCAAGGATTAAATATGTTCTTCTGGTTTGCGCTGCATTAGTCTGAATGGGGAGATTATGAGTGGTTTTTAGTCGTTGTCTTGTGTAGTTTGGGCTGTGGTAGGGGAATCGTCTCTGGCCGCGTTGTTTTGCTATGGGGAATAAGATGCAAAAGAAGGCCTCAATGGCTTATGCTAAAACATGTCTTGTGCAACATTGACGAATCAGCATCGACAATTTACGGTAGTAAGATTAGTCTTCTGTTGTTACATGTACAGTCCTCTACGTTCTCTATTTTATGCGAAATCCTCTTCCCCTTGTAGTATTCGCTGAAGGTTCTTCTTTCGGCCATTTGGATTCGTAAACGCTACAATATTGGAAACTCAAGCTCTGTTGCATCCTCATCCTAGTCCGGCCATCACCAACTTCTCCCATTTTCTCATGCCTCCTCCCACCCTTCCAGTCCGGCCTGACAGAAATCACGACGCGGTGGACGATAAATTTTTAAATCTGGGTACTGCTATGGTATTCACGTGTCTCTCCATCTACGGCATCGACCCGCGCTCGCAGCAGTTCATCAGCCACATGGATGTGCGGGACTCCATCCAGGACAACGGCTACTTCTCCCAGGAAGGACTTCGGGATCTGGTGAAGCAGATGATGACGCTCTACTCGCCACCCGCACAGCTCAACTCCCCGTCCTTTGATGTGCTGCTGAGAAGGGCAAGCTACGAGGTGGGTCACGGATCATGGGTGTGTGTGCAAGCCCCACTTCAGTGCGGTTGACGTGGTATTGGCGAATGCTTCTCCCAAGAGGGCCTTCGTGACCTGTTGATGCAGATAAGGACACTCTACTCGCTGCCTGCTCAGCTTATTTCCCTACTATTGACGTGCTGTCCCTTTCACCCTCATTCTCCCCCCCTAAGCGCGTATCTCATTCCGCTCCCCCCGCTTCCTCCCCCCCACCACTCCCTGCCCCCCCCTCATCCATCCACCCCTCCGTTCCAGGTGCGGGAGTATCCTGCCTTTCAAGTCGTTAAGCTCCGCTCGCTCGTCTAATCAGCGACTGACATCTGGCCCTCTGCTCCTGGCACTCCCCCCAGCCCACGAGGGGAGAAGCTAAGGAGGCAAGCCACGGTTCAATGTACTCGTGGCTCTTGGCATGGTACAGTATCCTGTCGAGATTATTGTTGGGTTAGTATCATGTGTCTGTTATGTCAGGATAGCAAGCAGGAATGAGTGCATTGAGTGAATTGTGGGTACAAGTACTAGCCTTAATATTGGGTTGTATCCCACGTGGGCTGCCCCACTATAGCCTACACACAACTAGCACATATATGGTTTGATACACCCCCATAGGCAACGTGGGGGAGAACAAGGGGTCACAAGACCAGTCAAGAAAAGCAAAGCAAGCTCAGGGTGGATCACAACGTCACCACACACTCCGAGCACAAGCAAAGGGCCACAAGGCCAGTTCACATACAGAGGTATATATGTAACAACAACAGTACAGTGATCACTACCTAGCAAGAGTAAACATGCAGATATATATACATATAGAGATCACAGTACAACCAGAGTCTACAGCAAGTGAGGAAACTTAGGCACCAGGCCTAGAGCAGTGCAGAAGCGCTGATGATCACCAGCCGGAAGGGCCTTGGTGAACACATCAGCCGTGTCGGCCCGGGTGGGCACGTGATCGACACGAAGCTGACCACGCTGCTGCAACTCTCGAGCAAGGAAGTAACGCAGAGCGATGTGCTTCGTTCTATGCTCCAGTCTGTGGTCCTGACACAAGGCAATGGCAGCCTTGTTGTCGACGTACAGAACTGGAGGAGAACGAGGCGTCTCTCCCAAGTCGGTCAGCAGGTAGGTGGGCCAGCGTAGCTCCTGTGCAGCCATGGCTGTGGCGTAGATCTCAGCCTCAAAACTGGGGCTGAGAACAGAAGACGAGCGTGTAGACCGCCAAGAAACAGAGCCAGAGCCAAGGCTGAACGTGTAACCCTGTGACGACCGCTGCGTAGCCAGGTCGTCAACCCAAGAAGCGTCTGAGTGCCCAGTGAGGACAACTGAGCTCCACCGTCCAAGCACGAGCCCCATGCCCGATGTACTGCACAAGTAGCGCAGTACCCTCTTCGCAGCATCCATATGCACCTTTCGGTGCCTACCAGGAGCCACGTAACGTGGCAGAAGGCCAAGAGGGTACGCGAGGTCAGGACGAGTGCAGGTCATCAGGTACATGAGGCAGCCCACTAGCTCTGGGTACGGGCCTCTCTGCTCTACGGACTCGTCTGAAAGTGGAGCTGAGAGTGAGTGACCGGTAGCCAGAGGAGTGGACTGTGGCAAGGACCAAGTGAAGCCGAAGCGCTGAAGGACCTGCTGCACCATGTGTGACTGAGTCAGTGTGATGGTGCGCCGTGCTCTATCTTGGGTGATCTGCAGGCCAAGGCAGCTGCGCAGCTCACCCAGGTCTGTGCACGTGTGTCTCTTCTGCAGCTCCGACTTCACAAGGGTGAGAGCCTCAGTGTCAGCAGTGGCAAAGACCAAGTCGTCCACGTACACGAGGATGTAGAACGGCGGCAACGAAGTGTCGGTGCGCAGAAACAGCGGCGGGTCAGAAGTCGAAGGAGCAAACCCAAGAGCCGCATGTGTCGTCCTCACTGTGTCGTGCCACTCGCGAGGCGCCTGACGAAGAACGTAGACTGGCCGGCGGAGGCTCCACTGGGTACCAGGAGGGAACGACCCAGTGAAGCCAGGTGGGCGGCGCAGCCAGATCTCCTCGTGCAGACTGCCCTGTAAGAACGCTGTGCTGAAGTCCAAGAGTGAAGCTCGTAGTCACGCTGAGCGGCGTCGTGCAGCAGAACCCGAAGAGTGGTCATCTTCGGGGTGGAGGAGAAGGTCTGGAAGAAGTCAACCCCCTGTGGCTGACTGAAGCCTCGTGCAACGTAACGAGCCTTGAAGACAGGCGGAGAACCCGGCGGCCGCTTCACCCTGAAAATCCACATGCCATTGACTACGTTCGCCCCAGGAGGGGGAGCTGCGTCGACGTAAGTGCCTGTGGACTTCCAAGATGCCATCTCTGCGTCCATGGCTGTCTACCACTGAGAGGAGTACTCACACGCGATCGCCTCAGCGTAAGAGCGCGGGGTCGGGATGTTTGGAGCATCCGGGTCTCCCTCAGGGGCAAGCAGCATGGCCACGAGATGAGGTGCAGCGGCTGCAACACACAAAGTCCTCCTGCCTGTCCTCAAGGACGTCCGTGCCAAAAGCACACTCACCCCCGACGGATGGAGGACAGACAGACTCAGACTCAGCAACAAGACTAGCAGCGAAGTCGAGACGACAGGCTGCAGCAAAGTTAACAAGCTCAGAGACTAAGGCAGACGCAGCAGCAGACTCAAACGACGGGTCAGTGACAACAGTGGCTAGCAGACGCGTGACGGTAGGGTGAGCAGCACGAACTAGGTCAGATACAGGGTCCTAAACCTCAGGCAGAGAAGACGCAGGAGGAGACGGTAGGGGAACACGCTGTGGAACAGAGGAAGGACGAAGTGCCATAGCGTGCGTGCCAGGGACAGGAGGCGGACGCTCACGAGGAACACGACGACCAGTGCGACGCGCGCGAACAGGCGAGGCAGGACGAGACGCAGGCTCACGACGCTCTGTAAGCGAGTCTATCTGCTCAGTGTAAGGAGAAGGAGCAGGCAGTGGTGCGCCGGGCTGTAACGGGAGGCCAGTAGAAGACGGGAGGCAAGAACCTGGCGAAGCACGGAGTCAGGCGGTGGCTTGACAACGGTAACGGCGGAGCGAAAAACAGTCACGACGGTGCAGTGCCACCAGTACCAGTAGCTCCAGCGCCTCCAGCAGCTCCAGAACCTCCAGGTCTAGCGCCTCCAGCAGCAGCACCTCTAGCTCCAGTGACTCCAGCAGTAGCACCTCCAGCTCCAGCGCCTCCAGCAGCTCCAGCGCCTCCAGCAGCTCCAGAACCTCCAGCTCCAGCGACTCCAGCAGCAGCACCTCCAGCTCCAGCGCCTCCAGCAGCAGCACCTCCAGCTCCAGGGACTCCAGCAGCATTACCTCCAGCCCCAGCGCCTCCAGCAGCTCCAGAATCTCCAGCTCCCGCGCCACCAGTAGCTTCACCCCCAGAACCGGCACCTCCAGCCTCAAGGTCCCCAACTCCAGGGTCGACAGGACCAGCGCCAAGGCCTCCAGCAGCAGCACCCCCAGAACCGGCACCTCCAGCTCCAGGGTCTCCAACGCCAGGGTCGACAGCACCAGCTCTAGGGCCTCCAGCCCCAGTACCTCCAGCAGCAGCACCCCTAGAAACGGCACCTCCAGCTCCAGGGTTTCCAACGCCAGGGTCGACAGCACCAGCTCCAGGGTCTCCAGCCCCAGTACCTCTAGCAGCAGCACCCCTAGAGCCGACACCTCCAGCTCCAGGAGTAGTACCAGTCCCGGCAGCTCCAGTTCCTCCAGTACGAGCACCTCCAGGACCAGAGACACCAGCACTCCCAGCGCCTCCACGACAAGCAGCTCCAGCAGCACGACTCCTCAGGCGGGTACGCGACGCAAGCCACTCTCGTGCCTGCTGTGGTGAGACAGGCCCACGTCGTGAAACGAGACCCAGAGGAACGCCAGCAGACTCAGCACTCCCAGGCTCCGCACCCCCCGGCACCTCACGGACGGGCTCAGCACCCCCAGACCCCGCAGCCGCAGGCTCAGCACCCCCAGGCTCCGCACTCCCGAGCACCTCACGCGCAGGCTCAGCACCCTCAGAGGCAGCACCCCCAACAGCACCTCCCGCAGCAGCACTTGAGTCGCTAGTGACCTCTACCTGAGACACACCTGAAGGAGCAGGACCGTGAGGGGGGAGGGGGTCTACCAGAGGGGGATCTGGAGCGAGGAAAAGCAGCGGGGGAGGGAGAGGGGCAGTGCGGTAGGGGAAGAGACGGTAGAAAGGAACTGACTCGTCAAAGGTGACGTCCTGAGAGGGGAAGACACGGCGCGAGGTGGGGTGGTAAAACTGCCAGCCAGGCGCGTCAGGGACAAAGCCAAGGAAGACACAGGGAATGGTGCGGGAGGAGAGCTTGTCCGCGGAAGTATCGCGGACAAGGGCACGAGCACCCCAGACCCGGAAACGCGACGCTTCGCCAACCTCCTCCGTCCAACGCAGTGTGGGCGAGGTCTCCGGCAAGGAGACACGGGGCCAGAGGTTGAGCTGCTGCGCGGCGTACCGGACCACAAACGGCCACAGAAAATGGGGAGCCGCCGCATGAATCAAGGAGGTACGAGCGACCTCCATAACTAATCCAATGCGGCGCTCAGCAACCCCATTTTGCTGTGGTGAGCCCGGAAGCGTGAACGATGCTCGATGCCCTCCCCCTGACAGAAGGCTCGCAAGAGGTCGGAGGTGAACTCACCACCTCTGTCAGAGTGCAGACGCATGACAGGAAGGTCCTGGCGGAACCTGCGGCGGAGCCGGAGACGGACTGCTCGGATCCAAGGGATCAGGACAGTAGGGACCTCACCCTTGGTGCGCAAGGGGAAGACCGTGGTGTACCGCGAGTAGTCGTCGACAACCAGCAAAAAGTACCGCTCACCGCCCTGTCTACGAACGCGGGCTGGGCCCCACACGTCCAGGTGGAGGGACTGCAGAGGAGCCTCTGTGGGGGGAAACGAGGAGGAGTGAGGAGCGGCGCGCTGCCGCCCCTCGACGCAAAGAAGGCAGGGCGGTGCAGGCGAGGCAGGGAGGGGAGGGAGAGACCTGGGAAGACCAGACACAAGGAGGCGACGGTGCATGCCACGTAGAAATGGAAAGGAGGGGTGACCCAGACGGTGGTGCCAGAGAAGAGTCTGGTGCGACAAGGAGTGACCCTACAAGGGGAGGCTACCTGACCTGACGGAGACACCTGACCAGTAGCAGCTACCTGAGGAGGCGCAGACGTCAGTGTGTAAAGACTCGACCCTGGCCGACGGGTAAACGTGGCCAGGTGGCGGCCAGTCCGGGAGCATGTACAGATCGCCACACGCTGTCCTCCAGGGGTAAAGGTGTCAACCCA